CCTGGGTTCAATCCTCAGTACCACAACACTAAAGTATACCAATGTATATACACACAAAAATCCTTTAATTGTGGCTTTCAGATTACAGTCAGTGAACAACAAATGGGAAGAAAAGAAGACAAGGAAACTTTTGGAGAGACTTGAAATCATACACCACCACCATTACCACTGCCACCACCGTGGACATTTGTAGAGTGGCTTCAACATGTCAGTTTTCAAAAGAGGCTGCAGGGAATCTTAAGAGCTCTGAGAAGGGACCTGGAAGGCACAGCCAACAATGAAAGACCGGGTACCAAATAATGAAAATTAAACTGACTGTAGTATTCCATTATCAGCTTTATATATTGATTTTGTTTGAAAAAAAAAAAAAAAACCCTTTCATGTATATAGATTTACAGATTTACATGACCATTTTATTCTTATACCACCCCAGACTTACAGGTAAGGAAAGTGAGGTGCAGAGGGATTAATGCTTGGCCCAAAGTCACAGGCCAGGCACGAGCAGAACTGTGACACATAACTGCTCCCACCCTCTGCCATCCCAGTGCTCTTTCCTCTACATTGCACTATATTTGAGTATTGATGATGAAATTCATAGTTTAGCAATTTCTTGGCCATGAAGTTTGTTTTGATGATAATGAGTCAGAGAACAGTTTAAAGAGAATTCCTAGAATCTGGGTTGTTTCAAGAAACCCAGAAAAACATCTCCTGGTCATTTCCTCCCTAAGCCATATGCAGCACTTGCTATTCCAGGAGCTGCGCTAATGGACTGCATTCTCACAGCTTGTCCTACAGCTCCACACTCCACCTCCTTTGGGGAATGCTGCTCCTCAAATCAGACAACAATTGCTGCAATGCTGTTATTAAAATTAAAAATTACATGACTTAAGAAAATAAGCATTTTTTGTACCAGGAATTGATCTCAGGACCTTGTGCTTGCCAGGCAGGTGCTGTGCCACTTAGCTATATCACCACTGCATTTTTTTCTTGATTACAGTTCTGCAGGTGGACTAGGAGGTAACTGTACTTCCTTTGGGCTTGGATCTGTTCCATATGACTAATTATGGGGCCCAGGGAGAAGAGCAGGGACTATCCAAATTGCACCCTTTTGTGGCAATTACTGGAATAGAAGGCCAAGCCAAGCCGTATAAGCACTATTTATAGCCTCTGCTAGAGTTACATCCACTCACATTCCATTGGCAAAGCAAGAAAATGGCCAAGCCCAAGGTACACTCTGCCCCACAAGGGACAGAAGTGACTAAACACTTGCTAAATGATTCTCAATCTATTGGGTCCTCTAAGAATGCTCTTCTTGAGACAAAGGATCAAACACATCTTTGCAAATCTCTTCAAATCTAATATACTGTCCTATTTATCAAGTCAGTTTTATATGTTCTGAAAAAGAGATCACTCCAAAGAGATTCCTGTCAAAGGACCCAAGGGGAATATGAACTGACTGTCTCCCAGCCCGGAGATCCTTAAGAAATGTTCTCTAATTTCCAGAATGGAAATTATCTAGTGGATATTAGGACATTTAATAAATTAACTACTTCATTCCTAATGATCTGCCCAAATGAAGACTTCCATCCCTTGTTCATAGAAGATAGGATCTGCAAAAAGAGCGGATATGGGTGATTTACAAACTCCACCCTCAATAATCAATTTCTAGCCATGGGAGTCTTGGCCAAGCCACAGAGCTGTATGGTAGCTAGAAATAAACTCCTAGATTTGACTGTGCGATTTAACATCTTTCCTGATGCTGGATGTTGTTGGTTCCTCCAGCCAAACTCCTCAACGTCCATTTCCCCTTTCTCCTTCCGAATTTTTCTCAGAGAATTTCCCTTTCCAGGAGACCTTCCAACATGAAAATAAACTTCAGGGACAGAACTAATTCCATTCCCTTTACCATACTGGTTTCAAAGTTGGTGAGTGACCTAGAATGGGCCATTGAGATACACCATGGGCCTGTGGGAGTGTAGTAGGCAACTGTGTTAGATAGAAATATTATAGGCAGTGAGACAGGGTAGGCCTGCCAAGGAGCCAGTACAGAGGATGAGATACCCTGCACCTGTGGGAGAGACAAACGCCTCCAGCTGTGGGCCAGACCTCAAGACAAAAGATAAAACAAATGCACCCACATGCTTCCTAAGGATAAACATCAGGGATTGATATTCTTAGGTCTCTATCACTTTGCGAAAGCCAAGAAGAGTCACTAACTCAATCTCCTGTAGGGAAAGCCCCTGTTCTGTTCATGCCCACTTGCTATGTGATTCACTTCCCCATTTGATCCTGATTTAATCAATTTTACCTGAGCAATTATGCTTGTAATCTTATTGACTAGCTACATTTTTTTCCCACCCCGCACACACCTTGTTTCCTACTTTGGACCATCTCATGTCATTTATTTGCTCTATAAAAATCCCTAGAAAAGGCAGGTTTCTTGCATCCCACTTGGATCCCCTTCTATCTCTCTCTTGGACAGCTTTCTTTCCCTCAATAAATATATTCTGCTCTTAAGCTCCATTGTTCCTAAAATTCATGCCTTGATTTTAGAGAACACAAACTCTTGTTTCTGTCTCAGGATGAAAGCAACAAGAAGATGGGCAAGCAGGCAGATGCAAGGAAAAGGCAACCTTGGGATACTTGAACCCCTGAAGCTCCCTGTAGCTATGTCCTTACTTGTAGATGAAATAATAAAATACCCTTGCTCACATCATTTGACTTTCAGTTAAAGGCATCATAAAAGTAGCCACCTCGGCCACTTACTACCTCTAACCCTTTGAGTAAGTCACGTGATTTCTTTCACCGCATTTTTGTACCAGTATCTATTGTCATAGAATTGTCACGAGGAGCAATTGATGGTGCTCAGGAAGCATTTGCAAACTTGGAGGGTCTGGCAGCTGGTCAAGGTACAATGACTCATATGTATGATTTTTTATTACAGGGACTTTGAGCACCTTCTAGCAAGAAAATACACCTAGGACAGTAGCTGCACTTTCTCTATGGTTAATTTTGTCACTGCCTGGTGTTTCTTCTAGAAATTTACGATAAGACCTTCAGACAAGAAGGGTCATGTCTTTGTTTAGGGCTCAACAGTAAGTGGTCTCCTACACTAAACCCTACCAAGCCTGTGAGGGATGGGAGCCCCAAAGGGAAAATACAAAGTGTGATAAAAATACAGTAAATGTTTAATTATTTTTTAATTCATTACAATAAGATGCATTGCCATGCCTGCCATCACTATCCTCTTGCTCTGTGGCTAATCTATAAGGCAGGTTGTAGGGAGTGGTTGAAGCTGGAAATACTTCAATCCTGATAAAAACATCTTACCTGAGACAATTCCAGTCATTAGTCCCTAGGCAAAACTCTGTGTGCATGATACTAACTTTGTCAAAAGTATAAGTAAACATCCTTACTGTTGTTGTTCAGTTCCTCTTCTCCCATCTGGAAAAAGGACTCCATCTGACCTCAGCTTTTGTCTCTTATCTTTATTTTCTAAATCCCCTTGCTGTTTTTCCCTGAGACCATCCAGAGCTGTGTGGGTTGCAGCAGCAGCTACAACAAAGGTATACTGATTGGGGCTGGAATTTTTGATCTCCAGTTTTCAAGGGTGATTATTTCCCAGCTAGTTCTTATTTTGGGGAAAACACAATATTTAAAAATAACATGAGCTGATCAGTTTATACACAACAGAAAGTTATTTTAGTTCTGGAAGTTGGGAAGTCATAGGTCAATGATTTGGTAGATTCAGTGTCTAGTGAAGGTTCATTTTTCTGGTCCACGGATGGCACCTTCATGCCATGTCCTCATGTGCCGGAGGGGACAGGCAAACCGCTAGAGCTTCTCCTAGAGGGCACAATCCCATTCACAAGGGATCTGCTGTCATGACCCTATCACCTCCCCATGGCCCGCTTTCTCATACCATGATTAGATTCCAGCATATGAATAATGGCACTCAGACCACAGCACCTACCATAAAATGCAAGCATCCAAGGTATACAGTTCAGTTATTTTAACTCAGTTCTTAGATATGGCCAGTTGTCAATGTAGTTAATTTTTAGAATATTTTTCTCATCCTCTAAAGAAACCTTGTACCCAGTAGAAATCATTCCCTGTTTCTTTCTTTCCATTCAAGTCTTTGACAGCTATCTATTGACTTTCTGTCTTTGTACATTTTCCTGTTTGGGCTGTTTCATATAAATGAACACATACAGTACAATAAATGGTCTTTTCTGACTGGCCTCCTTCACTTAGCATAATGTTTTCAAGGGCTGTCCAGGCAGTAGCATTTATCAATACTTCCTATCTCTTTAAAGATGAATGATATTCCAGGCTATGTGCATACCCCATTTAGTTCATCCATTCTTTTGTTGAATGGACATTTTGACTGTTTCTGTCTTTTATCTAAGAAAAATAAGGCTGGTCACTCAAACAAAAATGTTCATGAACTGAGGTATCACTGTGTTCTGAGGGGGGTTAACAGCAGTATATCTTTTACTGTAATAACTTTTTAAAAATTTAAATATTAACTATATTTTTTCAATCATGTATATATGATATATACGGAGATATCTGTATGTGGAGATATCTATACATACAGATATATACAGATTAGAAATCTGCACATCCAATTGCTCCCCCTGTCCTCTAGAGTGTGAAGTCCAGGAGAACAGGAATCTGTCTTGTTGGGTATGGCTGTACCACCATCCCCTTGCAGGATGGCACACTGGTGCACATAATAGCAGCTGAATAAATACCTGTTGCACAGCTCCTCCAGAGAGATGACTGGAAGGCAGAGGCATATACAGAAGAATTTGTACAGGCCTTTTCTGCAGAAATTATAGTAGTAATTTTACTATTTTAGACATAAAAAAACCCCAGAAATTCTTGACCTATAGAAAGAGAAAAGGAGGTCCCCCAGGAGTTGGTATAAAACTGAAAAGTAGCCTCAGTGGTTTCCATGGACACTGTGAGCATTCTCCTGGGCAATATAGTCTCACCTTTCAAGTGGGTACCACTCCCTCGCAGCTGATCTCCATCTCTGGGGTTGATTACCTCGAGGGGCACACCGGCCCACTCCTGCACTCTGTGCACCTTATTTAGTCAGTAAACCACTCTTCCAGGTAACAGGAATCCAAAGTCAAGACACCAGCAGTGAATCTTGTTTTCACACCTGAGAAGATCCTAAAAATCAATAAGCTTTAGAAGACACAGCCATTTTTTTTCTATCACTTTCCAATATTTGTTTAATTTTTCATCCCAGTTAAGCCCTCTGAAGAGGCCCAAGGATCAAGGGCTTCTGATGAAACATGCTCAGGTATATGGTCACATCATTCAGGGCTAATGGTGCACTTTGAGGGGGCCTAGGAAGCAATTAGGAGAGGAATCAAGGGCTGTTCTTAGGCTGTGTTTTCCCAGTCTTCTGAGGGTACAAAAATGACCTGCATATTATGACAGCTACAGATGACAAGATTCAAGCAGAGAAAACAAGTTGTATCCAAAAATGATGGATAGCAAAGGCCAGGACAAGAGAACCCTGAGTTGGATGTTTAATGGGCTGCTCCCCATCGCTGAAGGGGAAGCTAGGATCTCCTAGTACCTTTTCCATCCTTCTAAGACAAGGATGACCTCCACATTCTCTTATTCTGTCCCATTTCTCATGCCAAGATGAAGCAGAGCCCGGCATCCAGTAGGGTATGCATTGACTTCCCCCCACACAACTGTTCAAGACCTATCGCTCTAAAAGGCCTCTCTGTCCCAGTAGTTTTTTCCCATCTTCACTGTCATTGCTTTCATTCGGGGAATCATTGCCATATGCCTGCTTGTGTACAGCTGCTTCTTAAGCAATCCTCCTGCCTCAGGCCTTCTGCCAGTTCCTTGTCTTCACAGAGAGAAGAGCAGGATAGAGAGGCAGTGTGGACTAGTAGTTAGGAAAGTATGGGCCCTGGAGCCAAGGGCTCTGGGATCAAATCCTGCTTTCTACAGATCTGTGATCTCAAGCAGGTGGCTTAATTCCCCTGGGCCTCCCTTTACTTGTCTCTAAACCAAAGATGCTAATCTGTGTGCAGCTGGGAGCACACAGCAAGGACTACTAGGCACTACAGGTACAGTGCTTAGAACAGAGGCTGCAGAACCAAGTACCCCAATGTTGGTTAGCGAGCTCCTTCTGAGACATAGCCCCTCCTTATGCTATCCCTCAGACCAAGCCTCACCCTTCTCCACAAAGCCCGTGGCATCTGCTCGCCCTGCCTTCTCACCTCTTGCTGACTGACTCCCAGCTTCCCATTCCACACTCACAATCAATGTCTTTGTTCCTCGGTCTGGACAAGCTACCAGGCCCGCACTGCACACACACTGTGCCCTCCACCTAGAACATTCTCCCCAAATTCCCCCACATGCCTCATCCATGAGCCCCCTGGCTCTCCAGTCTTAGGTGGTCTTTCCTTTGTGAAGCTCCTATCACCCGGCAACGCCATGTAGGAGCCCTCTTCTGCATTCATGCAATACATTTCCTTCCATCCATACCCTTGCTGTGTTGTATTTTTACAGTTTTAGCCTAAAATATTTCACCCAGAAAAGCCAAAAGAGTAATAAAATAGTACAGTGAAATCCCAGGTACTCCCAGCAGTTGGTAATGTTTTGTTTATAATTGTTTTCTCTCTTTCTCTCTCTCTCTCTGCTTTTGTTTCCAAGTGAATTACAAACATCATAATAGTTCACCTCTAAGTATTTCAGTATGCATCTCCCCCAAAGGAATAAAGCAAAGGGGGGCATTCTTCCCATCTACAATGCAATACTATTATCACACCTTCAAAAATGATACCTGTCTAATATTGCTAAGTACTTGGTCTTTATTTACATTTCTCAAATTTCCTATTAGTCTTTTGACTGCATTACACTTGAATTGCTCCTTTATCTACAGGGTTTCTCCTTGGGCTGTGTATTCTGTGAGGAATGCAGCATGTCCCCTTGGCTGTCCATGCCCAGCGCTCGGTTCCTGAGAGGAGTTCCTTGAAATTTATTGAAAGAACAAACAAGCCCTGTATCCCACTTCTAGCTAGGAAGGAAGGGTCCTCAGGCCCCCTACACTCACACACTCATTCACACACACACACACACACACACACACCCCTACCAGGCAAACCCAGGAGCATTCCAAACTCCTCCCTCGGCTGACCCCACAAGACTTCTGTCTTAGTCACATTCCTGGTTGCTGGGACATAATAACCAACACCCACAAGTTAAAAGAGAAGAAGTTTATTTTGGCCCACAGTTTCAGAGGCTTTGGTGCAATCAAGGTCAGACAGCTACAAGGGAAAACGGTACAGTGGCAGGGGCTGGCAGAGAAAAGATACTTACATCATGGTGGTCAGGAAGCAGGGCAAAAAGGGAAGAGCCAGGGAGGGAGATACAGCCTTCCAGGTCGTGTGTCCAGTGAACCATCTCTTCTGCTTCTTTCAATCTGGCCCGTCTCCTAACAGCACATTTCATAGGATCCCTGTGACCCAATCACCTTCCAAAATGACAGTACTGGTGGTCACTTTTTATCTAAACTACAACAACACCCACACAATCTCCAGCTGAGCCCCTTGGCTTTGTTTCTGCCCCTCCTTCCCCTCCCTGAGCCCTGAGGCCTCCCACACGTCAGTGTGTCCCTGCTCCACCTCAGAGTTTCCTCTTTAACAAGCAAGCCCTCTCTGATCACGTCTCTGCTTGAAACCATTCTGTGTTTCCACCTGGACCCAGCCTCCCTGTCCAGCCTCAAGCACAAATCCGTTGACTTCCACTTTCTTTCTCCCTCTCCTAACTCCTTCTCTCCTGGACTTCCTAGCCTGCACTTTAGCAGCTCAAAACCATGCTCACCGTGACTTCCATCCTACTGCTCTCTACAGCTGAGATCCTCATCCTTCTCGTGCCTCACTTGCCTCTGAGTACCTGCAGGGAAACTCAAGCATCACTTTTCCAGGGCTACCTCAATGGCCTGTCCCTTCCTGGCAAAGTGCCTACAGAGACCTTGGGGACAATAGGAGATTGTTTTGTGTTTTTTTTTTTTTTTTTACATCCCTAGCCCATTTTTATTTTTGTGAGACAGCGTCTCACTAAATTGCTAAATTGCCTAGGCTGGGCTTGAACTTGTGACCCTCCAATCTCAGCCTCCCAGAGAGTTAGTATTACAACTGTGCGTCACCACAGCCAGCTAGAGGAAATGTGTGTGTGTGTGTGTGTGTGTGTGTGTGTGTGCATGTGTGTTAAAGAAATTAATACCTTAATCTTCTGAGGTCCTCTTTGGGTAAAGTACATTCCAAGGGATAAAATGATATCCACCTCTTGCCTCAAACAGGATTCTCAGAATATGATCCTGTTTTTATATTCTTCTACAGAAGAGATGCTCTACTTCGAGTTGACTTCACTTATTTCACTGGTTAGGTTACACTGGGGGAGGGAGAGCGTTTTCAAGCAGTGAAAGACGTCAAGATGACACACTTGTCACCTGTCACTCCTGCATTACACCTGGAGCATGCAGAGCTGACCTTCTCTACCTTTGTAATGTCCTTCTAAGGAGGGCGTTGATACAAGCACAGACCAAACTGCAACAGTCAAAAGTTCAAAGATCCAAGTGACCAAGACCCAGAGAAGTGTGTGGCACAGTGATTGAAAGCTGGAATCCGCACTCTCTCCCATCCTTAGCGGAACACTCTATCTTGAGTGAATTCTTTAACCTTTCTGAGCTCCAAGCTCTTCTTTCACCTGTGCATAATAATATCTTCTCCTGGGGTTCTTTATGAAAACTAAGTGAGATGTTGTTGATACCACAGGATATAAAAGCTGCTTTGGTCTCACTCTGGGGTTAGAAAGTGACACATTCCAAAGTCAGGTGTGATGTCATCCTGTGAGATTTAAGAATGAAGAGGCATGAAACTGTTTTCCTTTTTCTCTGGCCACCTCCAGTCCACAAGGGAAGCCGGAGTGCGCATCATAGCAGGAGAATTTTGGAGAGAGTAGTAGATGTGTCCCCATCGCTTTTAGCTCATTCCCTGACCCCCAAGAATGGCCTCAAAAGAGCACGACTAATCCCAGATGGGATGTTGGGTCTCAGGCAACCAGCGTCAAGGGGTGGACGGTTTAGAGATCCCCAAAAGCAAGGAAGGTGAGTGCTCTCTCTAGTATCCACAAAATTGTCCCAAGAGATGAAATTTTCGGCTTAAACATTCAGCAGGCCCAACCGGTGGGATGCCAGATTACCACGTGTTATGGTTTAAATTTTAAATGTCCCCTAAAGGCCAAGTGCTGAAAGTTTGGTTATCAGCCTGTGGCACTGTTAGGATGCTCTAGCCCCTTACTCTGTCTTTCTGTCTCTCTGTATCTCTGTCTTTCTCTCTGTGTGTGTCTCTCTCCACTTCCCCCCTCCAGCCACCATAAGGTGAACGAGTTTCCTTTGCCAAACACTTTTACCATGATGTATTTCTACCTCATCACAGGCTCAAAAGCAGCAGGGCCAAGTGACCATGGACTGAAATCTTTGAAACTGTCCCTGGACAAGTCCAAAGAAGTCCCCCTAAAGAGGAGATAGGGCCTTAACTTGGCCAGAGCAATCTATTGACATTTCATTGCAGAAAAGGATTTCAGGACATCTCAGTGACCAGGACCAGGCAGATTTATTAGGCAGAGCTAGAAAGTAAAAAAAAATGGATCCAAAACTGGACATGGTGGTGCATGCCTGTAATTCCAGCATTTGGGAGGCTGAGGCAGGAGGATCTTTGGGAGTTCAAGACCAGCCTGGGCTACAAAGTGAGCTCAAGTCCAGCCTGAACTGCATAGTGAGACCCTGTCTCAAACCAGACAAAAAAAAAAAAAGAAAAAATGGATCCAGGCATGGTGGTACATGCTTATAATCCCAGCACTCTGAGTGTGCAAGCTCAAGCCAAGCCTGGACTAAGCTTAAAGACTTAGTGAGAACTTTTCTCAGTAGTTAAAGTATTTCAAAAGAGCTAGGGACATAGCTCAGTATGAAGGCCCTGGGAAATCTTCAGGAAGAGAGAGAGAGAGAGAGAGAGATAGAGAGAGAGAGATCAGGAAGGGATTTCAGCTTGAGGAGCCATAGGAGAGAATCGGACTGGCCCATTAACAAAGACATGAGGCCAGTTTTATAGAGAACCTGAGGTGGCCAAGGGGCTGGTTGATCATTATCTTGGTTCTGGTTTTGCATGATGGCTAAAGAGAAGCCTTTATTGCTGGAAGGGACGATTCAGTCTCCATGAGATGTGACTTTTGCTTGGGGAGTCTAAGTTTTGCAAGTCTCTATTGGGAATCCAAGGTGACTGATGGTTTAGGACAGTGACTATAGAGATTTCTGGGCACTCCTTGGTAGTGAAATGTCCCTGTAAATCTCTTATCTTGGTGTTCTCAGTCTTGAAGGGAAATGAGACAGGTTATATAACTTTAGAACCAATCAATCTTATACACCAGCTAAAGATGGACACTCCCTAAATGATTCCATGCCCATATGCAGAGTGCGCAGGGCTCTGACTCAGAGTTTTAAGGGAAAAGGGAAGACAGATATAACATGAAGGTCAAGATTTGTTCTGCTTTCAGTTACCGGTAGGTGTCAGTAGGCCTAAGTGAAAGTCATTTTGTTTGTTTGGTTGGTTGCTTAGCTGGTTCATTGGGTTGTTTGTTTGTGTGTATGTTTTTACAAAAGTACATTTTAAGTCCCTGACTGTCTCAAAAGGAAACAAAAATAAATCATGCTCGCAGACAGGGTGGCACACGCCTGTGATCCCAGCACTTGGGAAGCTGAGGCAGGATGACTGCCATGAGTTCAAGGCCAGACTGAGCTACATAGTGAGACATTGTTTTAAAAAAACAAAAAACCAACAACCAAATAAACAAAAAAGCCCCCCAAATCATGCTTTTAATGAGTAGTGGGTTAAAGCACCAGGAGTTTCTTTGTCCAAACTAGGAGTCAAAATAAACTTTCCTTCCCTAAAAGATGATTTTCTCCAGTATTTTGTCACAGCAACAGAAAGCTGACTCACGTGTCACAGCATTAGCCACACAGGAACTTTCGGATCCTCTCTTCCCCTCGCCAAGGCTCAGAATCCCCTGGGAGCCCAGGGAGAGAAGAGGGAAGGCATAAGGTGGTGATGAGATGCTAAGCACAGACCGCTTTCCCAGCAGCAGGCCCCTTTCCTAAGAGTCTCCACTGGGAACAAAGTTTAAAACTCTAGCTTCTCTCACAGGCCCAGACGCATCAAGTGTTGCATTGAGAGTGTTCAAACTAGAAAGGACCAAGACACTTCTGATTCCGGAAGGTCAGCCAGGAGGGTTGCAGACCTGCCTTCATTTTCATCTCAGGGCAAGTGAGGCTCAACAGGGGTGAAGGCAGAAAATGTAAGGAGACTCATGGGCAAAAGTAAAGTTGGTTTCTTAAAGATCCCCCGTGAATATGCAAATGGAGTTGGATTTGCATGTAAGTCCTCTTACATATGCAGCAGCTTAGCCCAGTCTCTGGCCAAGTAAGAAACAACACTCACTGAGCAGTTATTACTATTACTATTCCACATGCCTTCACTATCACCATTGAGCAATTCCATCTTCTTTAAGCAAGCCAAGAGCTCCTGACAGCAGACAGATCATCTAACAGGTACTGCCTTCCTTGAGTTGACAACTCAGGGTACAGATGGTCTCCAAAGCCAAGAACTTGATGCCACCCTCCAAACCCCATGACTCAGAGAAAGAAGCCAACTCCCTGCCTTTCAATCACGTGATGCTCCAAAGGAGACGGAGTTCATATCCAATTCTGTCGTTTAACAGCTGGGTAACCTTGGGTGAATGACTTATGTTCTCTGTGCTTCAATTTCCTCATCTATAAAATAAGTGTAATAAAATATTCATCTGGTTAGAGTTATTATGTAGAAGAGACGAGGAAATAAATGTGAAGTTTAGAACACTGTCTGCCACAGGGCAAAGGACTCAACACACACAGTCATTCTTAAGACTTCATTGCCTCTCAGAGTAAAACCTTGAAATGACCCTGGTTTACTAGCACAGCGTTGTAAGGAACATTATACAAGGAACATGGTGGCAAAAAGCACGGGTCCTAGAATCAGACTGCCAGGGTCTGAATAGGGCAAGAAAATAAGACACACTGTAGAAATGTTTACTGTTATTGCTACTAATATAGTAAGCCAGAGCAGTGATGTGTGTACCTATAGAATACATATAATAAGAGCTTAACAGTGCAACTGTTCTTAGGAAGTAGTTACTTCAATAAACCTATATGATCCTGAAGATTCTGATCACACAAAGTTAATCAGAGGCAATGAATAGAAAACAAGCAGACAGAGTAGAGTCATCCCAGGACCCCAACAGACACCAGAATATGAGGGTGCTTAAGTCCATTATTTTAAAACAGCATAATATTTGCACATAATCCATGCACACCGTCCCTTGTACTTCAGATCATCTCTACATTATTTATAGTATCTAATTCAAAACAAATGCTGTGTGAATAGTTGTTACATTGTATCATTTAGAAAGTAATGACAAGGTGAAAAATCTGTACAGGTTCAGTATACATGCACCTGTTCTTTCCCACATATTTTCTATCCAAGGTTGCTTGAATCCTCAGGCATGGAACCTACGGATAGGCAGGGCAGCTCTGTCCTCCTAATCGGGAGGCTGCCAAACTTGACCTAGAGCATTTTGCTTATTTGTTCAACAGCAGACTGTGGCTCTCAAGCAAGTAGAGTTTCTTTAAAAACCCATCTTTCTTGGTCCGGACCCTTTGCCACGGCCTGCTGTGTCCCTCACCGCCAGCTTTCAGGCTCTCTCTTTTATTACCTGGACTGGTTCCCTCCTCCAGGCGAATCCTACCTTGCAAGGGAAAGAAGAAGCACGGTGGCCTTCTAGCCTCCTTTGAAGGTGACATTTCTAGCAGCCCAGCTCTCTCCTGGCCTGGTTCACCACTCACTGACCTAGGACCTGGAGACCGTTGCAGAGAAAAGTAGAAAATAGGAAACGCCGATTTCCCTGCAGGAAATCATTGTGTAGCCAACTCCAGGACTGAAACACAAGTGTAACATTGGAGAAAGGAGGGCAAAATCCCATTCAAGGCCATTGTTACAGCCACTGCTCTGTGCATGGGGAAACAAAGGGTGCCTGTGTGTACGAGGACAATGCTGTTGTGTTACCAGCTGCTTCTCTGCGTTACTCCTGGGGACAGGGGACAAGAAACGAGGACACAGTGCCTTCCTGGGTTCGATGTGCTCTGGACTTCATTAGTTATAGCAAACAGGCAAGTCAGAGCTGAGAGAAGAGACTGGGACATCCAGCCACAGTGTTCTGTAGTGGGGGACAGAAGACGCCCATCAGGACTGACCAACAGCCTCCACGCCGTTCTTGTCTACAGAGTAAATCCCAAACACCCCTCTCCTTGTCTTCCACCAGCTTCCAGAGTTTCAGCACATGCTAGAGCAGAGGAGGACCACAGACATCATTTCCCACACATATGCCGTCTACCCCAACTTTTGACTTTGTGACGGCTTTTGGCTTTGTGATTGGCCAGGACCAATCCCCAGTCTTATAGCATGTGAGTGACAACAGGTAAATCCAGATCATTAATGTGCCTCACACTCATTGAACCCCCATAATGAGCCAGTGGTGCTGTCAGTAGGCTTGTAAGATGAATTCCTTTGCTCCTGCCTTTAAAATCTGGCTCTGGCATTATTACCCATGAATCATGAGTAAGTTTTTTCTCAGAGCCTTAATGTCATTTGTAAACTGGGATTATTATGGGGTTACTGTGAGGATTAAATGAGTCAATACACGCAAGACTCTTAGGATAGTGCCTGGGTTATGAAAAGCAAACAAAAACCATGAATCACACATTAGCTGCCTATGTTATATGCACAGCTTGCTAAGATTCACAAGGAGCTGGGACGGAGATGATTGAAAGCTCAGGATCCTAGGGACCCACATTAAGTTCTGCAGCCTAAAATAGCCAAATTGTATTCCTTCGGTCCCTAAGGGGAGCTGGCACTAACAGATACTCTCATAAATGAGGCAGGGGACAAATGTGTGAAGAAAAGTATCCAAAGCCTAAGAGCGGAGGAGACCATAGATATTTGGAGAGGCCACACCAATCTTCAAGGAACATCCAGGACTTGCCTGCAGTCCACTGCAGCTATATGGAGAGGTGGGAACAGGATGGCTGAGCTGGCCAATTTTCAAAGAAAAATTAGAAGTCTGAATTTGAGGTCCAATCTCCAAATTTTGCAACATGGTAGAACAAAAATGACATTACTGATGCAGAGTAAGCCCCCAAATCACAAAGTTTGTGATGCTTTTTTGGCCATAGATGGCATTTCCAAGTCAGTGCAACCGTGTTCATACTTAGGGCTTTGGTCTAAAAAAATAAGGATGGGGTGGGGTGGGGAAGTAATCAGGATGTGACAGCAGAGCCCTAATGAATAGGATTCATTGCATGAGGTCCAAGAGAGCTCCCTGGCCCTCCCATCAAGGGAGAGCACAGCTAGAAGGTGCCTGCCGTGAACCAATATACAGTTCTCACCAGACAGCAAATCTGCTGGCACTTTGATCTCGGACATCTTAGTGTTCAGATTGTGAATAGTAACTTTCTATTGTTGATCAGCCACCCAGTTTATGGTATTTGATCATAGCAGCCCAAACAGACTAAGATAGCTGGTGAGCTCATCAGGTCATTTCAAAGTTGCTCCCTGACCTAGAGCAGGAGACAGAAGCCCAAAAAGCCTAAGTAGCCCCTCTCCTTAGCAACCTACCCTCATCTCAGTCCATGTGATGGTTTCCGGGGAAGGAAAAGGAAAATCACGGAAATGAAGTACAGAAGGCTTTCCCTAACAGGCCACAAACTCTTGGCTGAATCCACCTCTTATAGTCATTCTTCTGATAAAGAATGTAGCCAGGACTTAACAGGGGGTACTAAAGGGGAAAATGAGGCACAGACTGTCATAATCTCCATCAGTTCAGATGAACATAAATAGGCTAAGCGACAACATGCATTTACTGCACAAATGTAACTTCAAAACAAGATTGCTCACAAGGACAAGCGGCAGGATGGCTTTAATCAGGAAGACAGATAACACATACCGGTGAGGATGTGGAGAAAATGGAACCCTCCTGTACTGTTGACGAGAATGCAGAATGGTATAGTTGCTCTGGAAAACTACCCAACTATTCTTCTAAAAGTTAAACAGAGTTACCACATGACCCAGAAGTTTTATTCCTGGGCGTATACCCCAAGAGAAATGAAATGTATGTTTACACAAAAACTTGCACACCATTGTTCATAGCAGTATTATTCATAATAACCAAACAGTGGAAACAACCCAAACATCTATCAACAACGGATGAATGGATAAACAAAATTCAGTGCGCCCATATGACAAATATTATTCAGGAAAAAAAGTAGTGAGGTACTGATACCTCCTACAACATGGATAAACCTCAAAAAATGCTAGGTGGAAGAAATAATTACAAAAGACCACATATCATACAAATCCATTTATGTGAAATATTGAGAATAGGCAAATCTATGGTGACAGAAAGTAGACTTGTGGTTTGCCTAGGGCTGGGCACGATGGGGCAAGTTGTTGTGTTGGGGGAGATGCTGTGGTACAGGGTATGGAGCTTCTTTCTGGAGTGATGAACATGTTCTAAAATTGTGGTGACGGTGAGGAAATCCAATATACTAACATCCATCGAATTTTGCACTTCAAATGGGTAAGTTGCATGGTATATAGTTATATCTCAATAAAGCTGTGGTTAAAAAAAAATCCACAATTGGACCAGAGATGTAGCTCAGTGGTACAGAAGCCTGCCTGGCAAGTGCAAGGTCCCAAGTTTGATTCCCGGTACTACCCCCCGCCACAAAAAAATCCATAACTAAGATTGCTGCCCTTTAACATTTTCTATTAAAAAAATTCCTCTGTCCATATCCTTCTCTTCACAGCTTCCCACTGGAAGAGACCACACAAATGCTCCCAAAGGATGGTTTCCCACAAGGAAAGGGACCAATTTGTGGATATGAACACCGACATGCTCAGAACTCCTACTAGGGGGATCAACTGCCCTCGTTTTCCCAGAACTGCCTCAGGGTGAGCCCTGAAAGTCCTGTGTCCTAGCAAATCTCCCAATTGCTGGGCAAGCTAGAATAGCCAGTCATCCTTGGGTCACTCTTTCCCATACAGGAAAGCTCCACCCTTCAGAGCTGCCAATGGCCAGCACTGAATGCTAAGACAAGCCTTTCCCATTCCGGGTATATGTCATCCTTGAGCTCCCTCTAATGGCCAAAATGTATTTTTTATCATTGTTGTTCCCATTATATAGACGAGGAAACAGAGGTCAAAAAAACTTGCCAGGAGCACACAACGGCCAGGAATTCAGTCTGAGTTTTCTTCTAAAGCCCTTCTTCTCATCCTATGGGCTTTCCTCTTATTGCTGGGTTTGTTTTCCAGCAGTGCTTTTATCTTCTGCTCCCCTGCTGAGGATGATAGACATCTAAACAGAGGATATGCGAGTTTTCAGCAATGGGAAGACCAGGAGACATGTACATGCTTGGTTGTCAACAGCACAGCATCTAGAGCCAGACTACTGAAGTTTGAATCTGTGCTTTGCCACTACTAGGCTATGTAACCTTGGGCAAGTTACTTCTGTATGTCTCAGGTCCCCAGTATTTAAAATGGGGGAAATAAGACCTGTGTGATGACATACACATGTAATCCTGGCACTCTGGGAAGATGAGGCAGGAGAATCCCAAGTTCGAGCCAAGCCTGAACAACTTAGTGACTTGGTAGAAACTGTCTCAAACATTATTTATTTATTTATTTATTTAATCTTTTTGAGATAGGGTCTCACTATGCGGTTCAGGCTGGGCTTAAGCTCACTTTGTAGCCCAAGCTGGTCTCAAACTCACAAAGATCCTCCTGCCTCTGCCTCCCCAGTGCTGGGATTACAAGTGTGCACCACCACACCCAGCTGTCTTAAACATTTAGCAAAAATGTTTTAAAGGCCTAGGATGTTGCTCAGTGTGGTGGTCCTGAGTCCAGTCCTTAGGACGACCACCACAAAAAAATGTGTGTGCGGGGGATAATAGAAGAATAAATGTATAAATGTGCCCAGATACATTTAGTATAATATATAACTATCACATAGGATGGGGTGGAACACGGCATATAGCAAGTTTGTTAAATAAGTGAAAGAAAGCACTGACTCCTGCATTCAAAACAGGATAAAAATCAGATTAGGTCCAACAAAACCAGGCAGAGGGGCCAATTTATGGATATGAACACCAACATGCTGTTCTCTTCATTCTCATCACCATGTGTATGGTTCAGGAAATGCAGGAAGCCCTGCCGATCATCAAAACCTCTGAATGCAACCTGGTGCTGGTGACCTGGGCTACCCGACCAAAATAGTGTGATAAGCAACTAAGTTAAATAAAATATTATAGGCAGTCAGACAGGGCTGGGCCCTCCAAGGAGCCAGTACCTTGCATCTGTGGGAGAAACAGGCACCTCTGCTGTGGGTCAGACCTCAAGACAAAAGATAAAACAAGTGTGCCCACATACTTCCTAAGGCTAAACATCAGGGATTGATATTCTAAGTAGGTTTCTATCACCTTGGGAAAGCCAGGAAGAGCCACTACCTTAACCCACTACAGGAAAACCCCTGTGGGAAAAGCCCCACTTGCTACAGTGACTCGCTTCTCCACTTGATCCTGATTTAATCAACTTTACCTCAGCAATTATACTCATAATCTTATTGGCTGACCATAGTTTTGTCCCACCTCATGCCCACCTTGTGATTTCCCATTTTTCCCACCTCAGAGCCACCTCACATCATGGATTTGCTCTATAAAAATCCCTAGAAAAGGCAGGTTCCTTGGCAATCCACTCAGAACCCCTTCTGTGCCTCTTGCAGACAGAAACTTTCTTTCTCTCAGTAAATATATTCTGCTCTTAACCTCCATTGTTCCTAAAACTCATTCTTCAATTCTATTTTATTTTTTTTGAACAGGGAATCAAACCCAGGCCCTCGCGCTTGCCAGGCAAGTGCCTTGCCGATGAGCTATATCCCCCACACCAATTCTTCAATTTTATAGAACATGAACTTGCACAGGTTGGGAGTTTCCTTCCCCTGTATCAACAGGATGAATGGTGTCACACCACTTGCCACTGCCTGAAGCCTAAAGATGCCCTTGTGTCACACCCACCCCTAAGGGCAAGGAAGGCTGGATACTCCCCACATACTGGGGCAGCATCTGTCACTCAGCTCTGCTTTCTGGAGTAGGTTTGTTCAGCATCATACACAGGTGTAGAAACTGAGGCTAGAAAACATTCAAGGATTTTGTCAATAGTGTAGTTAACATATAGAACTAGGACTCAAACTTGGGCTGAGTTCTGAAGGCCCTGTGTTTTATTGCCTCCATGTATGATATAGTACTATCCTCTACAGGGTTTACTGGCATCTTGGAGGCTGGTACCCCTACCCTCCATCTCTCTACTGGAAGACAAAGAAGAGAATCTTATAGGAAGATTTGGAAATAGGAAAACCTACTGAAATTGATCTTAAATCTAACTACTTTTTTTGATTGTTGTTTATATAATAAGCATTCCATTGACCCAGAGTACTATGTCCTGTTCTATGCATATCACAGGAATTAAGCCTATGCCTTACAGTAAGTGATGGCAGCAAGCAACAATCAGGCCATGAGAGTTCCTGGAAAAGAGGGAGAACCCAAGAAAGACAGCTGGAATCAAGACTGTACAACAAGGTGGATCTAAAACTGTTCTGGCCCTGCTATGGGTTCATCCTTAGACGACTTGATTTTTGTTCCTGGGTCTTAACAATATCCCCTCAAAAAAATGGTAAAGGGAAGAACAGAAAGCAGAGAAACAAACATCCTCAGCAGCCTACCAGTTTCTGGAGTTTCATAAACAGACATCTTCTTTAGCTTGGATTTGTCAGAACCTGTTTTTTGAGCCAGATTTTGCTTACAAAGGTGAGGGAGAAAGTGCAGAGAAAAGAGATCCAACAAAGTACTGCAGGTGGATCAAATGTCAAGGGTGGGGGAGTTTGGCAGGCAGAAGAGATGGTTGTTCCTCAAAGGATAAATTTCAAGATATCAAAATTTTAGGGTGTTTTAGGGTAGAGCCTCTGGGCACTGGGCAAATCAGCATCTAGTACTGACCTCTCAAAATCATTCATTAGATCATTTTATAATTATCTTGTTGAACATATGGATGAAATAACTCCTGTGAACCACCTCCCACTCCATCCCTGCCACAGGCATAACAAGAACCTAGACAGAGTCCCTTCTTAGCCCCTATTCCAAAGACTTCCTCTCCTACTCTGAAACCAAATCTCTGGGACTACAAGAAACTTACTAAAAGCTCTAAATGATTCTGTCTCCCCATCTGGATAATAATTGTATCAGCTCTTCCACCACAGACACAGTGGAAACTATACACCCAAAATCTTTGTACAATTTTTGAAATGTGTGTGTGTAAATTCCAAGAATTCTAGTATGCGCAGTGTTGTAATTCCAAGTCTCCAGGTACACGGATTAGTACTACATAGCTATGTCTCAGAGGCTCCTAACAACCCCTCAGGCACATTCCCCAAATCAGCCAGCCCAGCATATGGGTCAAGGGAAAACCGGCTTCCCGGATGCTGTAAGTAGATAAACCAAGTCAGTTTGCACCCCTGAAAATCATCCTTCGCCTGCTGCTCCCTCGCAGCTCCTGGATTCTCGCATAGGAGGCTTTAGTTAGCCCTTCTTGATCCTTCCAAGCCGACAAGGATGCCAGCGAACCCACTCCGGCCACCCTGAAAGACTACAGCCCCCATGATGCCCTTCGCAGGCTGCTGGAGCCACGTGATCGTGTTCTCCAGGAGGCGTGATCACGTGACTCCGGGAAGATGGCCGCCGTGACTGAGGAGCACTTCGCGGCGTTGCAGAGCCTGCTGAAGGTAAATAGAGGCGGGAGGACGCGTGCGGCTGCGCTTTGTCTCCCGGACTTTGTACAAAGCAGAAATTGGGAATAAGTTGGTGCCGGCTTGGAATCAGCAATTCTTCCACTACTCTGTGTTACTCCGGGCAAATTGGTGTACCTTCCGGAGCTTATTAAGAGCTGGAGCAAACAACGTCCTGAGAAGCAGACGAGAGAGAAAACTGAGATAACGGACGTGAAGGCGCTGTACAAATGCCCTCTGGGACTGGTTTTCGGTACTGGTGCACGGGGGTGGTGATTGCTATGTTCTCACCAGTTCCCCATTGCATCCCGTGGCCTCTGCACTCCGGGTTAACAAACTCTACGTCTGTATCACCCCAGGCTTCAGAATGAAGATGTGCTGTGATCCCCCCGGGCCTGGGTTTTCTCCACTCACTTTGGCCAATGTAAGGGCCAAAATACTCTTTTGATACTTGTGTCTGAAGGATAATGAAGTTGAAAGAGACGTACTTTAAAGGGCGTCGTAAAGATTAAATTAAATGATAGGTTGGGATTGTGTATTATCACTAGCTGACGTTACAGCTGATCGGTTGCCTGCTGTCTTCTTTCAAGAATGTAAGAGCCAGGAAGAAACTTTGCTTCCTGACTTTCCTTCCTTCTCTTGTTAGGTGGAGAGGGTTGAATTAATTGCACTCATTTCATGGCACAGCATCATCAGTCCGTGAAATAGTCTCTAATTTGTTTTATTTATTTTTTAATGGCCTCCCCAATATTCATTTAGACTCTCCAGTCCTAACGGCATTTTCTTTGTTGTCACGGTGTATCCCAGCAAGTAGGACACCCCCTGGGGTACAGCATGTGCTCAATAAGTAGCTCAATAAGTAATGGAATTAATGTAGTGACTGAGCGGGAGACTGGATACCTAGTTTTCAGCTTCTAACCCAGTGTCTTTCACTTTTCTTTTTAAGATTTTTTTGTTTTAATTTTAAAGAGGAAAAAAATGATACAAAACTTCAAAACAGGATAAGAGAATTAACAGTGGTTAATACATTGCGTATTGTTATCTTTAAATTAGTTACTCACAGTACAAGATATTGGCTTTTAATTGTCCAAACAATATTAGTACAAGCCTTTTCAATGCACTAAGAGTATCAGTAGTATAACTATCCTATCATATATATATTTTTCATTTTTACTTTTCCCTTTTCTCCACTCCTCCACCCCAATTTCTCTTTCCTTTTGAAGTGTCTTCCCATTTTACAATATCTATTGTACGTTTTGGATCTTACTCTTTCAGCTTCTCACACTAGGGAGATGATACAGTGTTTACACATGTGCATCTGGTTTATTTTATGGCCTTGAGTTGCATCCATTTACCTATAAAAGTCTCCAGTTTATCCTTCTTTCTGTCTGAGTAGTACTCCATTGTATAAAAAGACCACATCTTTTTATGCATTCCTCAGCTGATGGGTATTTGGGTTGTTTCCAGGGTTGTGCTGCTACAAACATGGGTGCACATATATCACTGTGGTACAATGTTTTTAATTCTTCTGGGAAGATACCCAGAGGGGAAACCTGGGTCAGATGGGACCACCAATCCTAGTTTTTTGAGGAATCTCTACACTGATTTCCACAGTGGTCACACCAGTCCACACTCCAGCCAGCAGTGAAGAAGGGTTCCTTTTTGCCAACAGCCCTGCTAGCATTTGTTATTGGTTGATTTCTTGATAATAGCCATTCTTTCTGAGGTGAGGTGGATTCTCAGTGGTTTTAATTTGCATCTCTCAAATGACCAGTGATGTTGAACATTTTTTCATATATTTATTTGCTGTTTGTATTTCTTCATCTGAGAAGTGTGTATTCATCTCAGATACCCATTTTTAGATTGAGTCTTAAATTTGGGAGGCCTGATTTTTTTATTCTTTTGAGTTCTTTATATGTTCTCGATAGTAATCCTTTGAGGAATAACTGGTAAACTTTTTCTGCACTGTGGGTAGTCTCTTCACTCTCTTGGTGGTTTCTCTTTTGTTTCTCTTTGTTGTTGTTTGTTTTTGCCAGTACCACACTGTTTTTATCACAGTAGCTTTATAGTATAATATCAAGTCAGGATTATGATGCCTCCAGCCTTGCCTTTGTTGCCCAGGACTGCCTTTGCTATTCTAGGTCTCTTATGGTTCCAAATGAATTTTAGGATTGCTTTCTCTAATTCTGTGAGATACACTATTGGAATTTTGATCAGAATTGCATTAAATCTGTATAATAGTTTTGGAAGTATGGCCATTTTCACTGCATTGGTTCTTCCTACCTAAGAGCAAAGGATATCTTTCTATTTTCTTTTCATGTGAAAGGGAATAAAACATAATAAAAAAAAAAAAAAACATTAGAAACGATACAGAATTTCACTAAACAAGATGATGGGAACTCAGCAGTGGTTGTAGATTGCACATTGTTTCCTTCAAATTAGTTGTTCAGATTACCAGATTATAAGCATGCAGAATTGATAAAAAAAAAATTAAAAAGAAAAATATCCTCTTCAATCTCCTTTTTTTGAGTACTGTAGTTTTCAATGTAGAGGTCTTTTATAGCCTTCATTAATTGATTTGTAGGTATTTCATTATTTTGGATGCTATTGTAAAGGGAGTTATTTCCCTAATTTCTCTCTCAGTGGGTTTGTTATTTGTGTACAGGAAGGCTATTGGTTTTTGAGTGTTGACTCTGTATCCAGGTACACTATTGATTTTGCTTATTAAATCTAGCAGTTTTTAGTGGAGCTTTGGGGGTCTTATATGTAGATTATTAAGTCATCTGAAAATAATGATAATTTTATTTCTTCCTTTCCTATCGTTACTCATTTTATATCTTTCTCTTGTCTAATTGCTCTAGCTAAAGTTTCCAGGACTGTGTTGAATAAGAGTGAACACAGTGGACATCTTTGTCTTGTTCCTGATTTTACAGAGAGAGCTTTCAGTTTTTGTCCATTTAGTATGATGTTGGCTCTTGGTTTGTCATAGATGGTGTTTATCAGATTGAGATAAAGATCATCTATTCCAATTTTCTGTAGGGTTTTTATAATCAGTGGGTACTGGACTTTGTCAAAGCCCTTTGTGCATCTATTGAGATGGTCATACGATTTTTGTCCTTGCCTCTGATGGGATATATTGCATTTATTGATTTACATATCTTGAACCATCCCTGCATCTCTGGGATGCGTATGACTTGGTCATGGTGTATAATCTTGATAATTTGCTTCATTCTGTTTGCCAGTATCTTATTGAGGATTTTTGCATCTGTGTTCATTGGGGAGATTGTAATTCTCTCTCTTAGTTGGGTCCTTCTCTGGCTTTGGTATCAGGGTATTGCTTGCTTCCAGGAACGAATTTGGGAGTATTGCTTCCCTTTCAATTTCATTAAAGAGTTTGAGAAGTAGT